AACCTTTCCGAGATGAACTGGCAAACCCCAGTCCAGTGGCTTATTGCTGATCAGTCCACCCCCCCCCCCCCCGTGTTAATTACTGATCCCTAGGGCTCACCTAGGCTGAAGCAAATGCCCAAGAGTATAAATGCTCTAACCCAGTAACTGAGCTCCTGGGAAGCCAAAGCCTAAACATTGCTGACATGAGGGGAGGAGGGTGGGGACAGGAGAGGAAAAAGAATGAATCAACATAGCTTTTCCCCTTGGGGACACCTTGGGACCTGCCACCTCCCACAGCCACCAAAGGGGAGGACAGGGGTCACGGTGAGAGTCCCCACCCACGTGCTCCTGCTACAGGCCCATGGCCCCTAAGAGGTTAAAGACTACTGATCTAAAGGAAGACTAGTTAGCAGAGGTGAATTTCATTTTATTGGGAGAATGCCAGGCAGTGTGGAAAGGTGAAGAATTTTAATAATGTGGAGAAGATAATTCTACATATTTGTCAAGATTTTCAGGAGCTAGAAGGAATCCTAGAGGCAAATAGCTTTACTTGTTAAATCAACTGTATTCAGCCATAATTTATATATAATAAAATGCACCCATTTTAAGCGTGAAATTCTGTGAGCTCTGACAAATGTCTATGTTTGTGTAGCCACCAGCACAATTAAAGTACACAACACTTTGTCACGCTCAAAATATGGTTTGCACGTGTGCCCTCTTTACAATCTCCACCACCCCATTGATCCACCTTTTGTTATACAGATTAGTTTTGTTTTTAAAAAACCATTTCATATAAATAGAATAAACCAGAATACCCCAAATTGTTCATTCCCCTATTGGCTGGTGTTTGGGTTGTTTCCGGTTTGGAGTTATTACAAATAAAGCTGCTGTGAACATTCATGTACAGTTCCTTTCTGCAGACATGCTTTCATTTCTCCTGGAAAAAAACTAGGAGTGGAATTGCTGGGACTTATATAGTCAGTGTATGTTTACCTTTATAAGGAACTGCCAAACTAGTCTCCAAAATGATTGTGCCATTTTGCATTCCCAACTCCGTGTGGGAGTGTCAGTTGCTCCACGCTCTTCCCAGCACTTGGTGTTGCCGATCTTTAATTTTAGCCATTCCATGCGGGGTATGTAGCAGCATCTCATGGTGGTTTTAATGTGCACTTTCCTGATGGCTAAGAATGTTGAGAACTCTTCATGTGATTCTTGGCCATTGCATGTCTTCTTTTGGAAGTTTCTGTCTAAATCTTTTGCCCATTTTCATTGGGTTATTTATCTTACATATTCTGGATACAATTTTTTTGCCAGATCTGTGTATTGCAAATATTTTTCCTATTCTTTAGCTTGTCTTTTCATTTTCTTGATGTTTTAAGAACAGAAGTTTTTAATTTCGATGAGGTCTGTCTCATCATTTTTTAAAATTTCATGGTCATGGTTTTTGCATTCTATCAAACACATCCTTGTGTGACCCAAAATTGTAAAGATTTTCTCCCATGAGTTCCTCTGGAGGTTTTCTATTTTCAGTGTCTACATTTGGGTCTAAGAGACATTTCAAGTTAAGCATAGAGCATGGGGTGAGGTACATGCCAAGGTCTGTTTATTTATTTTTGCACGTGGACATCCAGATGTTCCATCACTACTTGACAAAAGGCTACCCTCCCCCACCGAATCGTCTTAGCACCTTTTCGGAATCAATTGACCGTATATGTGTCAGGCTATTTCTGGACTCTATTCTATTGATCTCTGTGTCTAATCTTACACCATAGTTTCATTTTTAAAGCCGAGAAAACTGTGGCTGGGAGAGTGAAGAGCCCATACAAGGCCAAACCCAGTAAGTTAGAAGCCAGGATGGAATGTCACTGTGTCAATATCCATCCTAAACCCTTGTTGGAAGTCAGCAAAGAGGGGCATTCCAACTAGTCGTGTGGATAGTAGTGCCGTGGCACGAGTTGCTTCTCCCCTGGAGGTCCCTCAACTGAAAAGTGGCGACAAGAATAATGCCCACCTCATGGGACTATGGAGAGATCAGGTGAGATGATGCTTCTCAAGTATCTGGTGCAGCACCTGGGACACTGTGGCTACCCGGGAGACTGCAGCTGCTCAAGCCCTTAGTTGGCATAAACATCTTCCCTATGGGGACTCCTTACCCCAACCCCTGCCACTCTGTTTCTGAGCCCTGAGCAGCTAATGGGCCATCCAGCCAGGCCTAAGAAACCCGGCCCAAGGCGGTGAAAGCTGCACCATATTTGGGAGGGTGGGAGCCCTGCCTCCTAGTGAGCAGGTGTGTTTGGGAGGGAGCTGGGTTTGGGCAAGTTAAGAGACGGTCCCAAAGATACCTACCACCCAGGAGGCTGCGTGAGGCCAGAAGCTCCTTTGGCAGCAGACGTGGGAGAGAAAAGGGGGTATACGATATTGAAAGGAAGGAAAAGAAATAGAAACTTTGGTGCCACCGTGAGATTATGGAAAACCAGCATTCCGGACAATTATCTTGTGCATGACAACGTGTTCACACCAGGCCATGAAAAGCAGGCATGAGGTTTTATGACAGGAGGCTTTATTGGACAGAATCACAATATACTTTTTCCCCTGTATCAACCGTCAATTCTATCATAAAAATATATTACAACATTTGATATGTATTCACGAAACACAAGCCATTGTAAACAGAGCAGGCAGCGTTGGCCTTGGATTCAAACTTCGTGAGTCCCATTTCAACAGAAAACAGCTTTTGGCAAGTGTATTACACGGAAGGCCGTATTGCCGCCGCATTGGGAGGCTTCAGGTAATAGTGTTTAAAAATAAAGGGAGCCATACTTCTGTTTAATAAATTAAGAGAAATGAAAGTTAAAGAAGTAAAGTTAAAGCTACAGTGTCAACAAACATGAGAAGACGCTAAGCTTTTGCTTTGTCCGTTTCATCCTCGGTGCGCAGCTGTTTGTGTTTATGAACATTCACCCATAGTCATACTCTCACGGGCGCACAGAGTCATGGGCACACACGTCAATGGGCACATTCGCTCCAACACAAACACACGGATGTCCCACCCGTTTTCCTGTGAGGCTGGCATGAAGGGCTTGCAACACTGTACAGAAGCTAATCATTTGCAGATCACTTTGTCCCCAGGAATGAAATACCTTTTAATTTTTTTTAAATCCTGGTTTCCAATAGTATACTTGAGTTGTGCAAATATAAAGTGCATTTCCATATGGAGTACTAAACCAGCTGGCATGTACCTTAGGTCTCCTTAATGTGGACTACCTTCTGTCACCCACTGGCCACTCTCTGGATGACCCAAGCATTGATGGCGTGAGTTCCCCCATCTCACTAAAAAATTTTGGAAAAACGACGAAAATTCAAGAAATGCAAAGAATTGGACTTCAGCATTCGGATTCCTTGGAGCCTCCCGGGGCTCCACGGGTAGCATTTAGCCACTAACGGGAAGTGACAGTTCTCCCATGGGAACCTGGGCAGGAGAAGCCTCAGTGTGGGGAGACGGGCATGCTCCGTGGCAGAGGATGGATGGGTGTGGCTGAACTTGTCCACTGGCATCTGCTGTGCATGACACCCCGACAGAGGGGTAGCTGTATGTCCTCCCAGGAGCTTCCTCACCCAGTGAACACTGCACATCCCCATGGCAAGGACGGGAATTCCTTCTCCCGGAGGAGCCTAAGAAAATGCAGACTGGCCTATTCCACCGTCTAGGAAAACCACCCAGGTGGTAACGAGGGAGGTAAGGCATCGTTTTGATTTGCTGCTGGACTTCCGAGGCTGTCTGTGATCCAGGGTCAGCCACGTTTCCCCGGGGGAATCCTGCTGGGGTTGGCGAGACAGCAGACTCCATGGATGTCCCCAACCCTCCCAAAGAGCCTGTGTTTGCGTGTTTGTTGTAAAGCAGGATTGTTGAGGTTTGGAGCAATTTCAGTTTGCAAGGGAACTTGGCATTCAAGGTTTTCAGAGCAGGGGGGGTCGGTCACTGTTGACAATGCAAGCAAAGGCTTGGTACTAAGTGAGTTCAACGCAAGGCAGTGGCAGCCTGTGGGTGCCGGGTGTGCCGTACTTTAGCCAAGGCAGGAGCGGTCACCATGATCTTGTCCTTAGGAAACTGACCCTCTAGGGTCACCCAGTGAATCGAGTGTCACTCTGATGGCATCTGATGCTCCCCATTCCCTGAGGATGGTCTGGGGTACAACTGAGACCTGGGCCTTGACAGTGATATCTCACTCCCGCAATTCAAGGTGGACTTCCTGTCTCCAAATACGGGTTTTAGGCTCTTTGAAACCATCGCATCATGGACTTTTGGTCACATTAAACACGGGCGGCAGTTCTTCCGTGCCAGGGAGTACATACAACACTGACTACAGTGGAGTCAATGGCGTGCGTGACAGGACACAGGAAACGCCGTGCACTGGTGTCCCTAAGAGCACACGCACACCCTGGGAGGCACACGTAGTCTTTGAGTCCAAAATCTAAATTACTTTAAAAGTCCTTAGATATGGGTATACAGGGTAAACTATAGCACTGCTGAGATTGGTTAGATTCTTAAGATCTGACCTTTAAATGCTAGATACATATTTACATGACACATTGTACCGGCGAACCGAGGGAAGGAGGGGATGGTTGAATTGCTAAGGAGCATGGGGACAGCTTCTGCCAGCTCCGTATTTCTGCTGTGTGGATTCTCCCACTTGTTCCTGGGGGGGTGTGGCAGGGCCCATTGGGCCCCTGCATGGATATTAAATGTGCAACAGTTCCCCACTGAAGACACGCCTTTGTTCCCCTCAGGATATTGTCAGAGGATTGCCCTGGCTGAATGTGGTCGGTTTCTCCAGAATGAATGAAGCTCTCCACCCCACCCCCACCATATAGTGCAGATGATCTGCAAAGTGGATGCGATTTATTCCCTCCCTCCCTCCTTCCTTCCTCCTTCCTTCCTTCCCTCCTTTCTTCCTTTCCTACTTCTTTCCTTCCCTCTCTCCTTCCTTCCTTTTTTCCTTCTCTTCTTTATTTTCTTTCCTCCCACTCTTTTTTTTTTTTTTTTTTTGGCAGCTAAACACACACGGACTTTCTCCATGTCTTTTCTTTCCAAGACAGATCTAACTTCGATACTCCCAACTTTGACTTCTGTCATCTCCCTCTGGCCACAGGTTGCGTTTGACCTGTCTCAGGAGACACTGGACCTCCCTGTCAGGGTCCACCTGGCACCGTCCCTGGCCCCACCTATGCTCGACCCACCCAGACCCCTCACCACGAGGCTCCCATCCCCCTCCCTACTCTATGTTCTGACCCAAATGTCAGCACCTCTGTGGAGCCTTCCAGAACTCTCCTTCCTCAGCAGCCAAGCTCTCCAGCCCTGACCCTCACAACACTGAGCGCACACCTCCGAGGCACCTGCGCCCCACCCCGTAGAGCAATGACGCGTCTCCCCAGCCTGACTCAGCACAGGCCACACAGAGCGGGTGCTCAGTAATGTGTGCAGAGTGGCAGGCTCCGGGGCAGGGCCCACGGCTGCCGAGTGTGCACATCCTGCTGCCCCGGAGGGTTGCTGCTCTGCACAGTAGTGTCTGCGGCAGGCTGGGCGAAGCCACCATGCGTGCTCACCACCTCTGTCTACCCATGAGGACTCCCTGGAAGTTGGACAGCTGCGTTCCTCGGAACCCCTGACTTGTCCCCGCTAGCTTGCAGAACCCTGAGGAGGCGGGAGGAGGCCTGTGCCTCCCTGGCTGCGTCTGAATGGAGGCAGGAGCAAGCCAGAGGTTCCTGCCACCCTCCTGTGACCAGGCCAGGACTTCGGCCACCAGAGGAGCAAAGGCAGCTGGCCTGGGGTCAGACTAAGCTTTGGGGGCTAATCAGCCACTTGGTTTTGGGAGAAAGTGGGAGGCAGCTGGGAAGGTGGGGGCCTCACAGGCCACGCTGCTCCCAGCCAGTGCTCCCCCTGGTGTGCGGGGGCCAAGCTCCTCGCAGCGTCTCCCACATCCGCTCAGCCCAGGGGCCCAGCGCCAATACCAGGGTCCTCCGTGCAAGTCCTCCCGGCTGCCAGGTGCTAAAAGGTCCACCTCGGTGCTAGGGGGTGCTGTGTGCTGCAGATGCTCACGGGGGCCGATGGCCCAGAGTCTCAGGAAAACCCAGATAGACCATGGGCCCCACACACCTAAAGCCTTTGCTCAGAGAGGCTCAGAGGCTGTGAGTGTTGCCTCCTGGGCACACCGCTGCTGCTAAGCTTCTTCCGCTGGAAACACACACAGAGAAAGAGAAGTCCAGAGAGTTCCTTCCCAACCACATGACGGGGGGGGGTCCCAAGGCCCGGCTGGTGGCCGGGGTGTTAGCCCAGGCGCTGAGAAGTGGGGCCGTTGCTGATGGCAGAAGGACATCCACTGAGCCCAGAATTGCCCAGAGTCCGGTGAAACTGGGGAATTCTCCCATTTTACCAGCCTGCCCTTCTTGAGACCACTGTCCTGTTTGCATTTACTCAGGACCTACAAATGTTCCCAGGTGCATAAAATGGAGATGATAATAGCGCTATATCAAAACATTATAAAGATTAACTGAAACACGACCCCAGCATACTTCAGACACTAGCCTGGGCTCTAGTCCTTACTCTGTACACACCAGCCGTTAGGACCATTGTCATTAACACCAGCTGTTCCTGGGATACCAGCAAGGGTCAGCCACGCTGGATGGGACCAACAAGAGACCCGCACCCAGGGGCTGGCGTCCCAAACTGTCTCCCCCGGCCCTGCCTCAGCCTGGCTCAGCTCCCCATGTACAAGGCTGGGTGGGAAGAGGGTGGGACAAGCTCTGGGTAGTGGCAGAGGTGTCGGATGTCACCTCCTCCCGCTGCCAGGCTGCCCCAGCAGGGTCTGATCCCAGACCCAAGCAAGTGTCCCTGGGGACCCCTCTGAACACCATGGTTCCTTTCCTCTCACAAGGCTTCCTGGCCATCCTCGGCCGACACCCCAAACACATCTCGCGCTGACAACTTGGGAGCCCCACAGAAAGGAATGAGGCTGCTTTGCAAATGCCTTGGGAGGTCAGGGTGGGCAGCCAGAATCTTACGGAGAGGGGTTTTTAGAATTTCATGGAGAGATCAGTTTTGTCCGTCTGAGAACACAATGCCCCCGCCTTTGAATAGAGCTGGAGATCGAACTATTTGGAGAATTAGGGAAAGATACAAGACAATTGAAACTTAGATATTTAGAAACACTCAGCTTTCTATAGAGTTTATCCAAGCATCCGAGATCATTTCTCCTTAGGGAGTAGTTACCTAAGGCCTTGGTGAAGATGCAGAAACCCAGGTGCTGCCTGGACCTGCTCGGATGGATCTCCGAGGGGCCGGGCAGGATCCGCATTTTAGACAACCTTCCTTCGTGACTCTTGGGCATAGCAAAGTTTAAGAGCCGCTGGCTCCATTCCAGATACAAAAACATCCAGGGCCTCTTCTTCCCCGAGGCGCTCACGGTGTAAAGGCTATGAGCTGATCCAAGGGGGTTCTGGCACCTGATAAGATATCCCTCATTAAAATCAGGCAAATCAGTTCATCCTGCACTGGGGTTACACCCTAACAATGCAGCCTTCGGTTCTGCACCCAAGCTTGTAGAAGGTGACAACCAGCACAGGAACCTGGCCCGTTCTTTCCATCTTCCCTCAGAAAGAAAGGCACCGTGAAAAAGAAAATTAACTTCACAAACACGAGGAGAGAGGGTTTATTGCTCGTGGTGACAGGAGACTGAGCTGGGTCCTAGGAGAACATACAGTTGGCCTGCGATGACTCAAGACAGCTCCCCTCCTCCCCCAGCCTGATTTCTCAGTCAACGCGGGCCTGCTGCTGGGAACATCTGGGAGAGGTGAGCTGGCCGAGACGCACAAAGCCCACATGGCACAGCACGCATGCACATGGGCCGTCCTTGGGGGGGGCCCAGGGCTCTACAATCCCCCTTCAGGAAGGGGGCTAAGGGAAAGCTAGAGTGGTTTTGCAGGATGATTAAAAAGGCAAATTCTGAGTGTGTAGGAGGACTAGGAACCGAGCCCCGTCTGCAGATTTAGGAATCTGAGAGCCTTCCCTTTACGGGTTTTATTTTCAAGCTTCTTAAATGTCTTTACCAAGTCCAACCATTTACCAGAGTTTGGGCCAGGCCCTTGGACTTCAATGCTGAAAATCTTAGTGTTTCTATGTGTTGTACCTGAGAAAACAATGTTACATTTGATAAATTAAATTACCAAAATGAGGTAGATAATTCAATTGGGAATAATAAAGCCAGGGGCAAATTTTATAGCCTGTATATAGATGAGTATAAACATTTATCTAAAGGAAATTGTAGCAGAGTGAGAGCTGTCCGATGCTGACTGCTAATGCAGTCATTTTCTTCTCATTTCCCCTTGGGTTTTAATACCTGTGTCCAAATAATAATGAAAAACCCAATCAATGAACATATCTGGAGTTTCTGCCTGCATGACACCAATGCAACTGGTTTTATTGGTTGGTTTTTAAGCAGTTTTAGAAGTATAGTGAAAACAACGAAATGCATCTTTTCAAGTTACGGGCTATTGTGGGTGACAGATCTTACTTCTTAGATGAAGAAGACAGAAAAGAGATCTAGTTGCTACCAGGAGCGTGACATTTTGCCTATACAGGACAGAGCAAACGCAGACAGGATCTGCCAGAGTTATTCCTCCAAACTGAAATTGGTGAAAATATATATTGCTGCTTGAATTTGACTGTCCACTGACCTCATCCGCAGGGTCACTGCTCCTCTGTGCCCAACTTTAAAAGTCTGTGTGTAAAAAGGGAGGTACCCTTGTTGGATTCAATCGTGCATACCATCTTGGCTCCCTGCTTGTTTCAATCCTAGTGGAATTCTAGGGGATGAACAGCTGCTCGTCACTGGGAAGGCTCTACGAAAGCTCATGTCTGTCGTGGTACAAACTTGAGTGGCCAAACGGGCTCTGAACCAGAGCAATTTGATTTCAGTAACACACACAGTCATGCCTGGCAGTGCTGTGCTGGTAGGTGCTTAACAACCAGCTCTCTGTGGGGAAAAGGCCTGATTTGTAGCAGCTGCTGATTTTCATGGTATGAAAGCTCCCATGGTGGCTGATTTCAAGCTACCAGTGTGGCATCCTGATTATGGAATTGGGGAGGGGTGTACCCCATTGGCTCCCCCAAGCAGGTGTGAGCACACACCTCTGACAGCAACTCAAAGATGTCAAATCCTATTTGGAAGCTATATCTGTCTCCATTCTTGCGTTCGTGGAAACTTTGAAACTAGGTGAGGGCAGACCAGGCTGAGTGGTTTACTAAATGAGGAGCTAAGAGTTAATAAGACGACATCTTAGCTTTTCAAATACAGGTGCACACACACACTTCTCTGCTTTTAAATACGGGGCTGCCTGGCAGAAAAAACCAGTAGTCTCTCTCTGGTCACTCCCTGTTGAACCAGACCCTCCCCATCACACCTGCAGACATGAGTGGCTGGAAGGACAGAGTGAGCCACCTGCCTCCGCTGCTCCCCGCCTTTCCACCCTGCAGGACCACTTCCAGCGGAGGATCCAGAAACAACTGCTCTTAGCCCTCAAGAGTTCATCTGAGATGGTAAACAAAGACGGCATGGGCAGAAAGTGAGGTCCACGCACCCTGGTTTTTATTAAATCGAGACAGGGCTGCTAATGCATTGGCATGTGTGCTATAGCTACGGTATTCTATGACAATGTCACTCTCTTGAAAACCTTGGCCAGCCCCTACTTTCTGTTGACAGACTACAGAAACTAGGATAGGAAGCCACCCAGATAATGGAACCCAGTGCCTTGACACAGAGGCTAAGTCCCTGCTGAGGCCAGTTTTTGCCCGTCCATCTCACAGGACGTGCTGGACAAGTTGTGTAGGACAAAGCGAGAGGCTTCCTGCAGATCCAGGTCACAGACGGGGGAGAGGAGACCAACCAGCCACATTCCTCCTGCTCTTACTGAAGTCCAGCAGTCAGGACATGTGAATCAGATGGTGACTTCCCGGCCAGACCGCAAAGAACCTAATACGTGTATTCCCCACCCAATTCAACCATTCCCACGCCAAGACTGTCTACACACACAAACATTAGCTTTTCCGGGGAAGGGAGGGACAAAAGTGGAATCTAAGTTCCCATTTCTAAGACAACTGGTCAGCAGCAATTGGGTAGCCACGAGCTGTCAAACATCGTCCCCTTGGGTGCAGAGCCCAAGAGTCCCAGCTGAGCACAATGTAGTTAGTACCAGCTGGATGATATTTGGGTTAGAGCAGCCACCCCTACCCTGTGGAGAAGAGGTGCCACGTCAGACCTGCGGCCAAACGGCCACTGCCAGCCTCACTTTCAGTATGACGGCAATGTCCCCTGGATACCACCTCTTTTCTTCAGCATGGAGCCCCGGGTCCGGTGGCCAGCAAACAGGTGGACACCCTGCTTCCCCACCTGCCACCAGCCCTCTGCGTCCTCGACAGTGGCAGGACTGAGGGCCAGCCCCTGGGGAGCCTCAGGCAAGTCAGGGAGCTCAAAGGAGCTTCTAGAGAGAAAGGCCAGAGCAGGGCCACAGTCATCCTTTGGTGACAAATAGGGACAGTCCAACATCTGCCCTTGAGGAGCCAGGAAGCAGAGGCTCCAGAGCCGTAAAGCCAGGGAACCAGGGCCACCGGGCTTGCCCCATAGCTCGAGGCTGGCGGCTGGTGGCGTCCGCCCCGGGGGCCCCACGCCCGCCTTCCCCTCTGCTCACCGCCGCCTCACTGAGCCGTGCGGAGCAGCGCGGGCCTCACTCGGAGACGGGCAGCATGTTCTGGCTGTGAGGGTCGCCCGTGAGGCCTGAGGAGTGGACGGCGCGCCTGTTGAGGACCCTGTTCAGGATCTCCTTGCAGCTCTTGCGGTACTGGTGTCGCAGCAGGGAGTACACGAAGGGGTCGGACGCCGCCTTGCTGTAGGCCAAGCACTTGGACAGCACGCCCCAGTGCGAGCCGATGGGCGCCGCGGAGAAGAGCTCCACCAGCCTGCGGAGAGACAGGGACGCCGTTACTGCGGGCACAGCCGGCCCCGCCCGGGGCGCACAGGACTCCAGTGTGCGCCCCTGTGGACCACTAGTTCCCGTCTCCTCCAGTAACAATGACAGCAGCAACGATTTATGCCAGTGTCAATGACGACGGGAACATTCGTCAGGCACTTACCTTGCTCTCAGCACTGTGCTAACTAAGCACTTTCTACGTGTGATCTCGTTGAGCCCTGGGAGATGTGATCATCTCCGTTTTGTTAATACACATGAAGAAATAGATGTCCTGGAAGGTTAAACAATTTGCCCAAGGTCATGTGGCCAGTAAATTGTAAAACCAGGCTTTGAACCCTGGTCTGTCTGACCCTGAGACCCAAGCTTAACTGGGTTGACAGCTGATAGCTGGCTATTCTGGCTTCGGGCTCCAGCTCAGCCGCTGACCTGCCGCGTGGCCCTGGGCACGTCTTTTCGTGCCTTGGACCTGTGTGTCTTATATGAAAAGCAAGAAGGTGGGATAAGATAATCTTGAAGATCTCGTGAACTGGAAGAGTCCGGTCCCCTTCTGTATTTCAAATCCTGGCTCTGTCTTCCTACGGAGGTTGCAAGGGAGAAAGGGCTCAGAGTGAATTTGACAACATCCTGCAAAGCTCCAAGTGTGTCTTGTGTCGGCAAAGAATCTGCGGGCAAGGAAGGCCTCTCCCTGGGTTTGGGATCCTGGTGGTCTTTGACAATAGCCGCAGTCAGGGTACCCTAAGGGACCCCCATTCCTGCGGGGAGCGGCAAGGGAAGGCACACCCTTGGGTCTAAGGGGCACCCTGGAACAGCACCATCTGAGGGTGCTGATGTCGGGCTGTGAGGTCACAGCCGTCCACTGTATCAGTGGAATCCACCCAAATCAAGCCACTTAGTCTCCTCTTTCAAGTGTGCCCAGCAGCCTTGGCCATATTTGGGCATTGGCCAGCATGAACCTAAGGTTGAAAAGACCCACAGAGCGGGGAGGGAGCTCGGAGATCATAAATCACCCCCTCCACTGTCACATGAGGAAATGGAGGCCCAGAGAGGGGAAGCGGCTGCCCAGCATCACACAGCAAGTTGGAGGCCGTGCCAGGTGCAGGCCTCCCTGACTGGGGCGTCTGGGACCTGTCTTCTACCTGGGGTGTCTGCAGATGGAAGGCAGTGGGGGCTCTCAGCTTGGTGGGCTGCCTAGGTGAGGACCTGGATAGAGAAAGAACTGAGAACTGGAACTCTGTGCTGCCAACATCTGCTTGTTTTTCTGGAGCCTTCTTTGGGCGGAGGTTGTGAGGACAGGCCTCTGAGCCAGCGAAGGAGAAAGCTGGGGTGTGGTCCTCTGCTGACCTGCCCCTGTCCGGGGCAGACCCTCGAGAGCCCACTCGAGGCTCCTCCATTCGGCTTCCCATGGTCGGCACCACTGCCCGCCCCTGCCCTCTGACCCCGCAGGGGACCCTGGCTATGTTTCGCCTCATGTCCTTGGGAGCCCGACTGGGGACGGAGCTGTTAGCATTTAGGAAATCTGTACTTTTAAGAAAACTATTTTGAGAAGTGATGAATAAATATAAAGGGACAAAACCCCTGAATTTAGAATTCACACCTAATAATAAGAATGAAATAGCTGAATGCCAACACATTGTTGCGATGCAGTGCCAACTTGCTTTTCCAAAAGCTTTTTTCTTTTGCACATTGCTAAATTCAGTCAGTGTTTTGGCTCTCCCAAAAGGATTTATTAAAAGAGCCAAATAGCATCAAATGATCCAGCAAGATCAAAACTATTATTTGCAGGTTCTGTAGATTTCATGGAATACAATTACTCAAAGCAACTTAAAATTTCACCATTTAGATAACGAAGACGTAAAATCTATTGCATTTGCTTCTCAGAGATTTTATGTAAAATCTGAACTCTCCACCTGCTCAGTAACAATAATTCCCAGTTGAGTGTCTCCTTTGGGCCAAACACTTGTGTGCACGCTCTCTAATCTCATAATCATCCTGCAGAATAGATAGCATTATTCCCATTTTACAGAGGAGAAAATTGAGGCTCAGAGAGGTTCAGCAGCAAGCCGAGGACTCTGACGTGGAAACTCAGCTCCATCTAACTGGGGTCCAAGTCCTGGCTAGTGGCTGTGCAGGGATCCACATCTCAGCTTGGAGGAGATGAGCTCTGGAGTCCCTTCTGGCTCTAAGAACCCCTGTTCCATGACATCACTATATGCAACGTAGAACTTTTGTCATTTGCCCCTCCCCACAGTGCACATGACAACTTTTGCTTTGAAAAGCCGGTGTCTGGCCTTTGTCAGGGTCTCCAGGCAAAGAGATGCTTTGGGCGAGTACAGGCCTGGACACTGCTCCCCCGGCCACCAGCCAGGGGGAGGCTGGCATGCCCCTTCCGTGCTCAGATGCGGCTGGCTGAGCCACCTGCTGCTTCCCTGTGCACAGGGATACCCTTGCACCAGCCGTGACTGCCTTTGCTCCATCCTAGCTGTGACAGAGCCAAGTCACCGTTTGTCTCAGTGCCCGAGAAGAGGCAGGAAGAAGAGTGACAGGAAGACATTGTCACAACTGCTCCTTTCAAACCCCCGATCTGGGCAGGCGTTTGGATGACCACGAGGTCCCTTCCAGATGTGGCCTTTGAGACAGGGAGTGCCTCAGCCCATCTTCTCACGCCAGGCCTAGCTCTGCTCACACTTTCTAAAGCCTAAAGTCGTCCCTGCCAAGAAAGGGGCATTAGGGTTCTGCCCGGCCGCATGTCACCAGTGGGCAGAGTCACTGTGTGCAGCAAGGTGCCCGCCTGCCTGCCCTGCTCTTTCTTCTCCTCCGCGTGGCTGGTTTCCTGGACTCCCCCCGACCCTCCCCTCACAGTCATAGTGAGTCGATGGTCCCAAGGCGTGGACAGAGGGGGCCCCTTGCAGAGCCGAAGCCTCCAGTGTGAGGCCCCCGTTTGAGGGCGTTCTGGGCTCAGGTGTCACTAGAGCAGGACTTGGTTTCCTTTTGTCATGGCGCCTGTCTGGGTTGAATTGTGTCTCCCTGCAAATCCACATGTTGAAGTGCTCACCCCTAGGACTTCAGAATGTGATCTCATTTAGAAAAAAGGTTGTTGCAAATATAACTAATATAAGGTCATCATGGAGTAGGGTGGGCCCCAATCCCACATGATCAGTGTCCCCATAAGAGGGGGAAGTTTGGACACACAGGGGCAGGTGTGAGATGGAGGCACAGGGCAATGTGACACATGCCAGGGGACGCCAAGGAGTGTCATCGACACCAGAAACTCGGGCAAAAGCACAGCACAATCCCCCTCCAGCCCTGAGAAGGAAGCAACACCCTGACTGAGGATTTGTGGCCCCCAGACCTGCGAGAGATGACCTTTCTGTAGCCTAAGCCACTCGGCCGCTCGGTGTGTGGTACTTTGTCACGGCAGCCCTAGCCAGTGATGATGCCCCCTGAAGAGCCCCGTGGGGACGCAGGAGTGGTTGTCAGGTTGTTTGGTTGCTCGGGGTGCCTGATCCCACCAGCATCAAAATGCACCAAGCCCCCCACCCGTTCCTGGGGCCTGTGTCGACTGAGGACCGCCTGGAGGTTTGCCAAAGCATTGGCCGCCCCAGGAGCAGGGCACTGCCCCCTCCACACCCTGCAGGAAGCAGGGCCTGTGCCCACCTGTCCCCACAAGCATCGATCCCTGCAGCCTGCCCCCACCTTCCATTAAGCCCCGAGGTGACTTTCCACCTATCCCTGGGATGGGAACAGGAGCAACCTCTGTCTGCCACCAGGCTCCATTCAGCGCAGATGTTTACACTTCCATGCTCAAAGTGCCCCTGTGCCTGCCCCAACACCGCTTCCTCCCCACGGGGAGGGAGCAGGCAGCTGGGGGTGGAGAAGAGGCCGGGTCCACCCTCAGGCACTTTAGGGGATTCCAGTACAGGCAGCTCTGCCCGTATGGAAGTCTGGGGGCGCCTGGGGTGTGGGGGGACATGAAGAGTGGCAGGGCGGAGCTTGCTGATGCATCAGACACAGAGCACAGAGAGGCGTGATTTTCTGACTCAGGGTGAGACACAGAGCAGATGCCAACAGACTGCGCCCCCCCAGATCCTATGTGCCTGCCCCACCTTTGCACCCCTTTGCTCTGGTATTTATTGGGGGACTCTGTCCCCAGCAGCAAGCCCCTCTGGTGTGGGTTGCTTGCGAGTTTCTGAGTGGCTGTTACAGCTGAGGGCTGATGAGGTCAGGAGCTGCCTGCCCTTGCCCCTCACCCACAGGGACCTCACATTCCCACCCTGCAGCCCGGGCAGTCCTGGGCCCTGGAGAAAGGACAGGGGCACGTTTGCCAGAACCCAGAGGCATGATCTGAGCCCCTGGAGAGACCAATGTCCTCACTCTGCTCCACAGTGGGATCCCCAAGGAAAGTGCATTCCACACAAGAACAGGGACAGTAGTGCCAGCACCTCCCGCGGTCCCCAGGGGCTCTGTGTCTCACTACCTCACAAGCATCATCTCGTGCCCCCAATATTGTTCTGCCTACTGTGCAGATGACGGAAACAAGGCAGCAATCTGTCAAAGCCACGCAGCCTGGATGTGGAGGAACCAGGATTTCTACCTTCCAGTGGATGCCGGCAACCACGTGCCGTCCCGGGGCCAGGCTGCCCCACCGGCCCTGTGCCACCGTCATCTCCTCTCCTGCCCTTCTCTCCTTCTCCCTCCCTCTCTCTGTCTCTCTGTCTCTCTCTCCCTCTCTCTCTCACACACACACACACACACACACACACACTGCGCACCAAATGCAACACAGGCCACGGAGCACCCCGTAGGAACCCGGCCCAGTCAGTGTTTTTCCAAGACTTCTGAAGACCCTTGTCTGCATATTTGAACACCTGCAAATAACAAGCTGAAGCTTTCCATTTTCATGAAACATTAGAATGGAGAAGCCATCTTATTAACAGAATATTAACACTGGGGAGTCACCTGCACATTAAACCTCTTTCCTATTGCATGGTT